AAAGAGAAATGAAAATGAATCTTGATGTGAATGGAAGGGGAGAGGGAGTGGGAAAGGGGAGGGTTGCGGGTGGGAGGGACATTATGGGGGGGGAAGCCATTGTAATCCATATTCTGTACTTTGGAAATTTATATTAATTAAATAAAAGGATGGAAAAAGATAAAAAAAATTATGGTTTGCCTTTAAGAGCTATTCTACTAAATAAATCTTATTTTCAAACAAAAGCAGTAGAAGGGAAAGTAGTGGCTTCTGAACAAAGATTGTGATATTTAGAATTCAAACTTCACTGTATCATCCATAAGGAAAAAAGAAATCAGAGGGAAAATGGGAATGGACTATCATTTCAACTTTAATTTTGAGTAACAGAGATGTACCCCAAAACTGACATGAATCTGTAAGCACCTTGCCTGTGTTATTTGAACCTACATAATACAGGGAGTGTTTCTAAGCTACAAGAATATTCTCTATTTTCAATGTATTTGGATAATTTTTCAAAACATACCTGAAATAAAGAAAGCTTAGGACAAGCTATATTTGAAAGGATTCAGCCTGTTGGGGGTGTTAGATAGTGAAATTCCTCAGGAAACTCAACCATGTGTTTTGTGCCTTATCAGCACCATGTAAACAATGCAGACTGTCTGCCAAATTAAGAATTTCATAATAGTTGTTCAGATGGTGTTATTAGCGAGAGACTTGGATCGAACTATGAGCTCCTTTAGGAAATGGGTAGATGACATTGTGGATAAGAAAACTTCACACTAATGGCAAGAACACAAAATTAAAAATGACAGAATAAATGTGAGATAGGAAAGCAGATGATGAAAGGATTTGGAGAGACAAAAAGGCTTCTCTTAATTAAATGTGATTATGCATCTGTTATTTTTAAAAAAAGGAAATCAGACTGGTATTGGGACACATTTTTCTGACTTTTATAATTAAGCAGTGGGATTCTACCCCATATTCATTTGTTTTAAGCTTTCATTTTTGGTAGCTGAATATTAGAGTGGCTATGAGACATGAGTAATTTAGCCTAGAAGCTATAAGAAATAAAGAGAGACTTGGAATGAAGGCTGCTGTGAAGCCAATCACTGGATCTTCTCCAAGTAGTAATAGCATGTAGTTTTATTAAATGCAGATAGACTCTCTCCTCCTAGATTTCTTATAAAACATCAAGCATAACACTTAGAGAGGCAGGATGCCTACAGAATAAAAAATTATAATATACGTTTCATTAATGCGCAAAGTACAAAGTCATATTTCAATCTTCAGGGGACATTTAGAGTTTTTGTTGTTTGTTCTTACTAAAGCATCTCAAAAAATTACATTATTTTTAAAGCAGCAACTATATTTGGATACCATAATTCACTACATCCCTCTTCAAGGGGTTATATAAAATGAAAGGAATAATTGCTGAGCAATTGTTTATGATATAATGTGACAGATGTGAGAGTGGGGACATGAACAGATGCCTACAGCATGCCTCCCTTTCCCCAAGGAACTTAACATCTAATGTGAGCTGGGGGATTTGTGCTCAGGAGACTTTTTGAAGAAATCAGAGTTTGAGCTGAGTTTGAAGTAATATTCAGATTTTAAGAGCAGGGACAGGAAGAAACAAAGGGTACAGACCAAAAACCTGCCAGTTCTGAGGCAGAAAAATCAGCTCAGGTTGAGGACCAGCAAACAATAGTTCCTGTCCACCTACACTAAAAGGGAAAACTGTGCTAAAAATTTTTATAAGCTCAGAACTGTGTATGAATTAATTGAAGTGAGGTACTTGCAATAAGTACAGAAAGTTCTAAAGTAAATTAGCACTTCAGAACCTCACACCCCAGGAGGGACGGTTGAATTACTACAAGCAGCTCATGAATGGAATCTGGGCCCAGCTCACAGAATTAACAAATATTATCACCTGCAAATACAAAGCACTATCAAAACCCATTATAAGTAATAAAGAATATATTCACTTAATAACACTACTGATTTTTCTCAATTACACTGAAATACAAAAATTCCATTATTTCATTGTTTTGCTTTGTCCAGATTAAAGAAAACAAATATGTGAGGGTACTTCAAAACATTTATGGAAAGACAGAATTAAAGGGTAACTTCATTTTGGTGCAAAAAAATTGATATCAATACACAGGGTTTTGATAATACATTTTTTTCATGAACTTTTTGAAGATCACTTGTATATATGTATTTCAAAATTTTTTCTACTACAGTAAACTTATCTTTAAATTCCATTTCCTACAAACTGTCTGAAGTGCCCTTGTATATGTGTGTATCATTTACATATATTTTATCTTCATTTTAGTTAATAGACTATTAAATAAATATTAAGTATATAACTTAAATCTTAAAATATAAACTCATATTTTGTTCTATTATTTACTTCAATATTTTCCTATTATTAAAGATATAAGTTGTTCTGACATTTACTATCATATATAATGCTATCATAAATATTACTGCCATAGTTAAATACTATAGACATGCTTGGTTATTTATACAGGATATTTTATTTATGTGAAATTGCTCAGTCAAAATGTATATGCTCTTAAGGATTTTAATATTTATTGCTAAATTGATTTTTCAAAGATCCCATCATTATTATGTTCCTTCCAAAAGACAACTATATGAAACAATAAGATACATTATAAATGCATACTCACGGTAAAAAATTTAAAATACTTAGAAAGCTACATTGAAATGTCATGTGAAGTACACAGAAAATCAAGAGTATTTAAAACTCTTTTGCATGTGTTTCAGATCAGCGGAGAGATTTACCATGTAAGTCAAGAATGGCAAACAATGTTTCCTATCATTGATCACTCATAAACCTTCCTAAGAGATATTCACTCTGTTAAAGCCTATTTTTGGACCCTCAAAGCATTACAAGCCAAGGTGCTCTGAGAAAGGAATCAAGCCAGTATGAAAGATGCTCATCTCCAAATACGCAGAAACGTGAGAAAGAACTTGCCTTTGAAGAGAGCCTTGTTACTTCCACAGAAGCTGACTCTACAAAGAAGGGAAAGGAAGATTGAGGATGTGGGCTCTAATAAAGTGACAGCATTCCTCAAACTCATCCAGGAAGAAGAGAGAAACAGAATTTTTATCAATATGGGTAACCTGGAAAAAGTCCTTTTGCACAAACATTCACTGTTTTCTGTGTATAATAGAAAGAAAAAGATTTGTTGAATCTGGTTTAGTGAACTAAAAAAAGCTCACCTTCTATTTGATTTCTTAAAGCAATGTCTACTCCATTTATAGGGGATTGAAAACTATACTTTGAAAGAAAATATCAGGCTCAGGAGCCTGTAGGAGAAATTTCTGTTAATTACAATGAATTCTCTGACCACTCACACATATCAATAATGCTCACTTATGCCTTTGAAGTGAAAACAAAGAATGTTACTTTTGAGAGAGAGAAAACCTATGTTGACAAAGGAGAAGTGAGTTTTTAAAATTTGCAATACCTAGAAATTACTTAGATTGTACATTTAATTGTGTACTTGGGTCCTCTTCCCAAACTTGGTCATCTATTCTGTTCTCCTTTAGAAATATTAAGTCATCCTATCTTGATGCTGCCTTGTTTATTACAGCTCCAGTTTTCCCTATAAACTCACAATGTCTAGTTAATGAAATTAACTCACTATCTTTTGTAGTTTTAGATCCTACAGAGAGGAAGCTAAGAACCCCCGGCAATAATCCAAAGTCATTTTGTTTAAATAAACTCACCATGGAAAATGTTTTGTAGTGCTGGATCATCACTGAAATTTGTCAGGGGTATAGGCAATCCCACAGAGCAGGTTCAGAGATGAAAAGGTGAAAGGGGTAAAGTTCAACATCTATTATTTAGGTTTGAATGCTATAAAGCAGCTAAAGGGATTTATGGGAATTCAAACCAAAGAAGGATGTAGGAAAGAGAAATATCAATAACACTTTTTTAAGGTGAAATCAGCTAGACAGATAATAGAAGTTGCTGCCATAAAATACTAGTTACCAATAAATATGACCTACATTATAAGCACTTATTGATCAGAAGCTTTCCTGCAGAATGAAGCGGATGCCAAACTCCTGCATTACAGAAATGTTGACAACTGAGCTCTATTGGAAAATTGGGGAGGTGGGGGTTTGGAGGGGGCAGAATTTACAGAAGATTTGCAAAGACAATACAGTGAATTTCCAAGTGCACTTGTACCCAGTTTACCCTACTGTTAACTTATGACATTCCAACGGTACATTTGTCAAATCTAAGAAACTAACATTGTTTTATATATCGCAACATTTTTTCAGATAGCACCAGTTTTTCTCCACTATCCTTTTCCATCCCAGGATCCCATCTAGGACACCATTCGCATTTAGTCGGCCTGTCTCCTTAGGTTTTTCTTGGTTGTGACAGCTTAAATTCCTCGTCCTTACTGACCTTGGCAGTTTTGAAGAGCACTTTTTATTTTTTAGTTTTTGGTTGTTGTTTATTTAATGTTTTCCCAAATGTCTCTCAATTTGGATTTCTCTGAAGCTTGTCTAATGGTTAGACCAAGGTCATGGGTTTTTGATGAACAAACTCTAGAGGTGATGTGCCACTCTCAGAACACCCATTTATTTTTTAAAGATGAAATTAATGGATTGCCTCAAGGCTTTAGAAACATTTTTCCCTGTGATTCCACCATCTAATTAAGTAGAATTTGATTATAATAAAACGATATCAGCAAAGCTGCCATGACCTTTTTCCATCAAAACCTCTACAATTTTGTAGCTGTGATTATTTTCCTCAACAGTGATATTCTCTTTCTCTTTTGGATAAAGAAATTTATCGCTGCATATACTCTGTGTATGCATCCTAACTCGGCTATAGAAGTTGAACTCAAAGAAATATGAGTTTATAATGACAGAACAACACAGCATACATCACTATCGTCTACCTAGCATCTGCTCTCAGTAGACCTTCATCTTGTTCACTTCCTACTATTTTAGGACTGAAAAGGCCAGCTACTCACCTTCCCAGCTTCTGTTATGCTCTATCCAGTGCTGGCCAATGAGGCGAGAGCTGGTCTCTTGGGTGTTCTGGGGAAGAAACAGTTCCTCCTCGATGAAGGTGCAGAGGCAAGGCAGACAAGCTCTTTTCTTGTCTGTTTTGATGTGGTTGGGTGAAGATGACCTGTTAGGAGCTGTCTCAGTCATGACGCAACAAGTTCAAGGATAAAAAGACGAATGCTGACACTGGGAGAAAAGAGGAAAAAGAAATAGTCTGAGTCCCAGAAGCCATCCTTCAGCTGGTGAGTCATCCTTGGGACTGCAAAACAAACTATCGATATCCTTGCTTTTCAACGAATTTGCAGCCCAAAACGTCCTTACTAATACAAGCTGCAGTAACTGGCATTTCTCATGACAACTCAGATAGGATATGTTGGTGGTACATGGACATGTTTTTGCTTTTCCTACTCAGTGTTAAAAATGTAGTTGACTTTCTCTTTAAAAGCACAGGGGAAAAACTGCTTGCTACTTCTGAAAAATTGGTGAATCTGGCAACGTGTGGCTCTATAGGTCTAACTTGCTGCCACTCCAAAATGGGACCCATACTCTGAGCTTCAGTTCAACACAGTCCTCAGCTTTTTTGATTCATGCATTTGTATTGCTTGTCTGGACCTTGCAGACATTTTTGAAAATCCCATAAAAGCCACACTTTATTTAAGATAAGAATTTTTGGATGCTTCCCATTTTTGTCCCCATTTTGTATAGAAGGGATGATTCTGAAAGAATGCATCCAGTGAAAATCATAGAAGTATGGCTCTGACAGATCTTCAACCCCTTTGTGATACCACACTTCTCTCTCTCTCCTCCCGTCCCTCTGGCCTTTCCCAGAACTGAGTGAAACAAATGGACTAAGATTAACTTTCCAACTAACATTTCTAAGATGTTTTACTTAGGCTAGAAACTCCTGCAATCAGCCAGGAGAAGATTTATATCCATCATATAAATCCACTTACTCTACAACACACCTAACTGTTGGAGACTCACCATTTTGGATAGAGTCTAACAAAAGTTTTGTCAGTGTTACATTGTAAGTCCAAGGTTCCTAACTAAATATGTGCAACGCATGCCCCAGGAAACATGCCCCAGTGCTCAATTCATGTACATGGCTTGTGGATTACAATTTCCTTCTGTACTACTTCCCATGCTGACAAAAGTCATGGCAAAGAGGAGATTCCAGAATATACTCTGGGCCATCAACAGCATTTATAGGATCAGAAGGATAAACATTATAAGTCACTACTGACAGGATAACTGAATAGAAGGAAAGCAAAGTTTATTATTGATTCTACAGAGAGTAAACATGAGAGATGCAACCCCAAATTTCAGAGCTACCATCTTCAGTGTCATGCCTAGCCCTTAGCTGCAGCCCCAGCATGGTAGGTCCAGTGGCAGTAAGTACCTCTGAGCATCACCCACAGAGATCCCAAACACAAGTCACGGGACATGTGGATGAAGAAGACAGAAGCAAGGGCCTTGGTAAACAATCTGTCCGTAGGGGAACTTGAGGTAAGGGAATAGGAGTCTTGTTAAAGAACCATTGCCTGGTCGGCGCAGCAGCTCATTTGGCTAATCCTCTGCCTGCGGTGCTGGAACCCCAGGTTCTAGTCACAGTTGGGGCACCGGATTCTGTCCTGGTTGCTCCTCTTCCAGTCCAGCTCTCTGCTGTGGCCCGGGAAGGCAGTGAAGGATGGCCCAAGTGCTTGGGCCCTGCACCTGCATGGGAGACCAGGAGGAAGCACCTGGATCCTGGCTTCGGATCGGCGCAGCGTGCCGGCCGTAGCAGCCACCTGGGGGGTGAACCAACGGAAGGAAGATCTTTCTCTCTGTCTCTCTCTGTCTCTCTCTCACTGTCTAACTCTGTCTGTCAAAAATGTCTTGTCAAAAAAATAAAAAAAAAAATGAGAGAGAGCATTGCCTGTCAGCTGTAGCCTCATGTGATGGACAGGATTGTGAGACTGGCTGCAGTTTAATCTTCCTTTAACAGGTCTCATCCAATTTTCTTCGAATGAGAAATTTTCATTATTTTCAACTGTTTAACATTATATCTATGCATTATAGAAGGTAATGATGCCTATGGGTAAGACTTTCATAGAAATTCGTCTCTACCAGTAATGTTCCTCTTTATATCCCATAATGACTTCCAAGGACCAAGTTAGCTAGATTTTTTTTTTTCATAAATGTCATCATTCAATTAAAAAAAATTCTTGGAGCTGGCATTGAGGCATAGTAGATAAAGCCGCTGCCAGCAAGGCCAGTATCCCATATGGGCACCAGTTTGTGTCTCAGCTGCTCCGCCTCTGATCCAGCTCCCTGTTAATGAGCCTGGGAAAGCAGCAGAAGATGACACAAATGCTTAGGCCCCTGCACTCACTTGGGAGATCTAGGAAAAGCTCCTGGCTCCTGGCTTTGGCCTGGCCCAGCCCCAGCTGTTGCAGCCATTTGGAGAGTTCATCATTGTCTCTCCCTTTCACTCTGTAACTCTGCCTTTCAAATAAATAAAGTAAATCTTGAAAGAAAACTGTTTAAATATTCTTATTTAATTGATATTCTTTATTTAACTACTAGTACCTTTTATTAATTTTTATTAATATAAAGATAACAGATTTTAAGTAGCTCATAAATACAGTTCTAAGGATGTGATACTTCCTTTTCGGCCTCCTCCATCCTTCCCTCCTTCCTTTTTTCTTTTTAAATTTTTGCAATAACATATTTTTAATTTACTTTATAATCATATACTTGATGCTCCAGTAAATAAAGAGCTCAATAAGTAAAAGGCAGAAAGAACATAAGTATTTTTAAAAAATATTTCTCATTTGCTTATTGTTATTGAAAATACCCTACAGGAAGATCCTATATTTTCAGACAGCATTTGCCTAGAAAGTACAAAATCAAACAGATTGCCCTAACATGGACCATAGAAAAGTATAAAAATGGGGAGGAAGATAGGCCATGTAGAAAATCATAACAAATAATCAATAATAATATAAAAAACTATAACTCTATGCCTAATTTCATGGTATAATTATAATTCAGGTCATGTAAAAGGGGCATAAATACATAGTGATCTATAGCTATCTATATATCTAGATTTTTCAGAGAACCTCAATATATTTATATCCAAGTATATCTTATAAATGAAACCATATTACAAATCACTAAGTTCCTAAAGTTGTATTTATGAAATGCATAAAGTTTATATTCCTTAAAGAAAAAGGTTCTTGGGGAAAATAAAATAAAATAAAATTGACCTAAAAATCATACCTATAATAAATATTAATAAATTTTAATAGTAAGTTATTTTTGTTTGGTCTCTTAGTATTTAGAAGAGATTAGGGAAAGGTATAAATCAAATAACTTAAGAAATTCCAAGAAATATCTATTGCAATTTGCTTTGGATTGATACATTGCTTTTCTTTTGAAAATCCTCCATTTTTGAAGCAGGAACACTCTTCACTCTCCTTGCCCTTCTTGCTCCCCTGCAGGACTTCTGGGGTGTCCAGCTCCTGTTTATCATCCTTATTACACTATTTGTTGTTATTGATAAAGATGATGATAATGATGAAGAAGACAACAGTGAAAATAACTTATTTTTGTTCTATCTCTTGGGTTCAAGTTTTCAGAAGATATCCAGAAAAAAAAATCTTTGAAAATAAAATGCTGCAGACAGTCCCAGCATTTCAAAATATGACACCAAAATTAAATAGCAAAAATGTACCTTCAAAAGCTCAAGCTAAAAACTGTTACTTATTATAGATTCAGTCAGTGAGAAGACAGGATATATTTAGTTGAATACAAAAATGTGAAAACAGAATCAGTTAATAATAGTTGCATTCTTATATTAATATCAGCATCCAATTTGTTTCTGTGTTATTATTCCAGTTGTATTAATACACAGCTGCACTAATAAACAGGGAAGCAAATATCAATAGTAAGATAAAACAATAGTTTATAATCTCAGAGCTCTTAACTGAATTTATCTACAATGCTGAAGGAAGACTAATAAGAATCTTCATGTTAAAAAAATAATGAATGAATGAATAACAAATCAAACTTAAGGAATAAAGTCATTTACAGTCTATTAATCTATATATCATATATAATACTACAATATACTTATATACAATAAAACACTTTCATTCATAACAAAATTACTATAGCACACATTTTCCTACACATGTGAACACTCGGCAAGCAGAGGCTGGGGTTTTATCCATCAATGTGTATAGTATTTTCTTTCATAATTTTATAGGCTTTCCAAAGCTGGAAAAATGCCATTATTCATTAATCACATTTTTCACCTAGCACAGAGCTAGATCATAGTAGGCATATTTCTTGAATTAAATGAATAAAGTTACTTAAGACATTGCTGAGTGCTTTAAAGGATTTCATAAATTTCTGATAATCTACAATACCAATTATCAAGTCATTATAAGGCCCCAATGTGAAAATGATAAAATATTATGCAGGGTGAAATCACACTCTATAGACATGATTGCTTACATGTTGCTGTCTATGTCATACCCATGCAAATATTCCAGTGTTATACTCTTGCAGAAATAAAGACAAGTGGTGAAACTAGCCATTTACTAAGCTGCATGTCATTCAGGTGGCACTGTGTGAAGGAGCAAATGGAAGGAATTTCTTGACTTTCCCTTACATTATAGGTTAAATAGGATTTTCTGCTCTAACATTAAACCAACATGAACATGTATTCAATAGGTATTTGTTTGATCATGGGTCTTTTATTAATAAAACTGTCATAAGTGGAAATGATATTTAAAAATACTGGGCATCCACAAGAATTTTTAGAATAAAGTCTATTTGTAACTTGACATCCAAGTTGTTGTATTTTTTTTTAATTTTTACTAATATAATTTCATAGCTACAATTCTAATGCCAGAATACCTTCCCTCCTGCTCTTCCTCCCTCAAACTCTTTTTTCTTTTAATTTTTGTAAAAACATAACTTCAGTCCACTCAACAATCAGAAGCTTAATGCACCACTAACCATAATCACAGGCTTCACACATCACTAACCATAACATTCGACAAGTAAAAAGAGTAGAAAGACCACAGTTCCACAGGAGCATAAAGAAGGCTAAAAGTAACAGTCAAGTCACAGGATGCCCATTTTGTTCCTATACATTTTTGTACTCTATATTAACTAATACATATCAGAAAAACATATGATATTTGTCTTTCAGGGATTGACTTATTTCACCAAGCATAACGGTTTCCAGTTGCATCCATTTTGTTGCAAAAGTCAGGATCTCATTATTTTTTACTACTAATATTCCACAGTGTATATATGCCACATTTTCCTTATCCAGTCATTGGTTGATGGACATCTGCATTAATTCCATATCTTAGCACTGTGAATTGAGCTGCTTATAAACATGAGATTGTTCAGATCATTCTTAATATGTGGATTTCATTTCCTTTGGGTATATTCCCAAGAGTGGGATAGTTGGATCATATGGAGGATATATTTTCAGAGTTCTGAGGGATTTCCATACTTTCTTCCCTAATGTTTGTTCTGGTTTACATTCCCACCTACAGTGCATTAAGTTACCCTTCCCCCATATCCTCATCAGTATTTATTATTATTTTTGATTTTTAGATGATAGCCATTCTAACTGGGGTTAGGTGAAACCTCACTGCGGTGTTTATTTGCACTTCCCTGATGGCTAATGATCCTGAGCATTTTTTCATGTGTTTGTTGGCCAATTGTATTTCATCCTTTAAAAATGTTCATATATTTAGACTATTGCTTAACCAGATTGTTTGCTTTGTTGTTGTTGAGTTTCTTTAGCTCCTTACATAGTCTGGATAATAATACTTTATCAGATGTATAGTTTGCAATATTTTCTCACATTCTTTTGGTTGCCACTTTGTTGAGTATTTCCTTTGCTGTGCAGAAACTTCTTAGCTTGATGTAATCCCCTATGTCTATTTTGGCTTTTATTGCCTGTGTTCTAGAGTCTCACCCAAGAAGTCTTTGCCTATGCCAATGTCTTGCATTGTTTTCTCTATGTCATCCTTCAGTAATTTGATGGCTTCAGGTCTTAGGTTTATATCCTTGATCCATTGTGAGTTGATTTTTGTATAGGGTGGGAAGAGTCTTGTTTCATACATGCAGAGTTTCAATTTTCCCAACATCATTTGTTGAAGAGATTGTCTTTTCTCCAGGGAGTGATTTTAGCTCATTTGTCAGATGAGTTGATGAATGGATTAATTTCTAGGGTTTCCAATCTGTTCCATTGGTCCTCATGTCTATTTTTCTGTCAGCTGCATCTGTTTTGATTACAACTGCCCTGTAGTATGATTGAAATTTGGTATTGTGATACCTATGACTTTGTTTTTGTTCTTTTTTTTTTTTGACAGGCAGAGTTAAAAAGAGAGAGAGAGAGACAGAGAGAAAGGTCTTCCTTCCGTTGGTTCTCCCCTCAAATGGCTGCTACGACTGGCACGCTGTGCCGATCCAAAGCCAGGAGCCAGGTGCTTCCTCCTGGTCTCCCATGCAGGTGCAAGGCCCAAGCACTTGGGCCACCCTCCACTGCATTCCTGGGCCACAGCAGAGAGCTGGACTGGAAGAGGGCAACTGGGACAGAATCTGGCGCCCCAACCGGGACTAGAACCCGGGGTGCTGGTGCCGCAGGTGGAGGATTAGCCTAATGAACCGTGGCACTGGCTTGTTTTTGTTCTTTAAGATTGCCACAGAGGGCCAGAGCTGTGGCATAGCAGTTAAAGCCACCACCTGCAGTGCCAGCATTCCATATGGGTACTGGTTCGAGTTCCAGCTGCTCCTCTTCTGATTCAGCTCTCTGTTAAAGCCTGGGAAAGCAGAAGATAGCCCAAGTCCTTGGGACCCCTGCACCCACATGGGAAGAAGCTCCTGGCTCCTGGATGTGGATTGGCCCAGCTCCAGCCATTGAGGCCATTTGTGAAGTGAATCAGCAGATGGAATATCTTTCTCTTACTCTCTGCCTCTGCCTCTCTGTAACTCTACCTTTCAAATAAATAAATCTTAAAAAAAAAAGATTGCCTTAGTTATTCAAGGTCTCTTGTGATTCCATATGAATTTTAGCATTTTTTATAGATCTGACAAGAATGTCATTGAGACTTTGATTGGGATTGCATTGACTCTGTAAATTGCTTTGGGTTGTATGGACATTTTGTATATATTAATTCTTCTAACCTATGAACACAGAAGATTCTTTCATTTTTTGTGTCTTCTTCTATTTCTTTCTTTAATATTTTGTAATTTTCATTGTAGAGATCTTTTACATATTTGGTTACATTTATTCCAAAGTATTTAAATTTTTGTAGCTATTGTGAATGATAGAAAACACCAGAGAAAGAGAACTACAGACAATATCCCTGATGAACATAGATGCAAAAATCCTTAACAAAATACTAGCTAATCAAATCCAATAACACAATAGAAATATCATTCATTCAGCCCAACTGGTATTTATCCTGATATCCAGGGATGGTTTGACACATGCAAATCAATAAATATGACACATCACATTAGCAGAATCAAAGAATAACACATCAAAGAATAAAAACCACATTATTATCTCAATAGATGCAGAGAAAGAATTTGGTAAAATACAACATCATTCATGATGCAAACCTTAAGAACACTGGGTATGGAAGGAACACTCCTCTACCCTATCAAGGTACTATATGATAAACCCACAGCCAGTATCATATTGAATGGGGAAAAGTTAGAAGCAGTTCCACTAAGATCTGGAACTGGACAAAGATGCCCACCTTCACCATTGCTATTCAATATAGTTCTGGAAGTTTTATTAAGAGCCATTAGGCAAGAAAAAGAAATCAAATGAATACAAAATATAAGATAGGAAGACAAATTATCCCTGTTTGCAGATGACATAATTTTATGTACAGGGGAACCAAAATACCCTACTAAGAGACTATTGGAGCACATAAGAGAGTTTAGTAAAGTTGTAGAATATGAAAAAAAAAACACAAAAATATCAAAAGCCTTTGTATACATATAAACAATATCAGAAATAACTTGTATCTAATTTAAAACATTGTTCCAGCACATATACTAAAACATTGCTCCAAGTAACTAAATTATTTGACACATTTTTAAAGATTTTGTATTTCTTGTGAATAATTTTGGTTGTGCTAATCATATAAAAGGTAACAAATGTTAATTAATGTTCATGGATATAAGATATTTGTTAAATGCCAGGAACTTGATCAAACATTGAATGTTGTCTCATTTAATCCTACAAATTACTTCATTATTTTTGTCATTTTAAAAATAAGGAAACAGAGGTCCAAGGAAATGTAGTCATTTTTCCAAAATCACATTATGAGTGACTAAGCTGTGATTCAAACCTAGATGTGATTATTGCTATATTTATGTTCTTCTCATTATACTTTGTATCTTCCCTGTAAGTAAAAAGTTTCTGCAAAAACAGTTAATGAAATGAGAACATTATGATACTCAGAACTTCTGATTCCTTCTAGGTAAGGTTCCTGGAGAGTCTTAAAAAATTACTTGGACCTGGCAGACCTCTGCAACCAGAAACCTTCCATGTCCTTTTATCCTCCAATCTAGAAATGATCTCCTCTTATTTGCTCCACAAATTCTCTGAATTTACCTTTAATGTAATAAATTACAATTGTCTTCCTTCTGTTCTCTGGTCTCCATAAGACTGTGAATAATTTGCAAGCAGAAATGTTTTGCCTATTATCTTTACATCATCAGTGCTTAATCCAGTGCTTGCCTTACCACATATACAAAGCCTGGTTAACACACAATAAATGTTTAAAATGAGAATCAAAGTCCAGCAGTATTACTTCAATTCTAGATAGTCCCAGCCAAAATAAATAGGATAAAGGGCAGAAAATCTACTTTATTTACCATTTTGTTTTTTTAAGAGACACTAAACTTTGCTGTTTCTCTTTTATCAACATAGTTTACTTATTCCCTTTGCACAGGATTTGAAGAATAGTGTAGTAATATGCAGTGTTCAGAGTTCCTTTGGTGGTGGTAGGGAATCTGTAAAACAAAGGTAAGTTATTTTGTTTCTGCAAAGTACAGGGTAAATCTCTTGTATTTTAATGCTTCTTTAAAATATGGATGATTTATTTCTTCTGGATTGAAAAAAGGCAATAGTAACTAAAACAATTCAACAATTTTCAGTGCTACACTGAAATATTTTCCTTTCTTTGCTTGCAACTTAAAATGATTACAATGTAAAGTAATTAAGCAGAAGTAAATGTTTCTAGTAATCTAAGAAGACATTACTTTTCATTTGTGCTATGAAATTGAAACTGTTTTTCCTGTATTTACCAAATATTTTCTCACTATATGTACTAGCAAAATAAGAAACAAACAAAAAATACTTTCTGAACAATAGAAGATACAAGAACACATTGGTGGGGCAAGGAACTTCATGCAGCCATTTATGCTGTTTGGGATACCTATATGCCCGTGAGAATGTCTGGCTTCACGTCCTGGCTCGGCTCCCCGTTCCATTTTGCTGCTATTGTGCACACTGGGAGGCAACAGAGATGGCTCACTCAGCACAGGCAAGGACATGATTTGAAGGAAAATGTTGTTTCATAGGATTCAAGCTATAAAGTCATCAAAATAACAACTGTAAATGCCATTGAAATTATATTCTTTTCATTTTAAATTTAAAAATATTAATCCATTTAGTAGGCAACATTCTAATGAATGTATTTTTAATGCTGGGGGCTTCTCCATTCAATGTTACAACATAGATCAGATCTGCAGTTTTGCTGTAACCTCTCTTGACATTGGCTGTTTATAGATAGGGAGGGAGTTAAAAGAATAGGCATAAAAAGCAAGAATAAAGCAAATTTTAGCTGTTTTGCACCATACATGTGTGTGTTTGTGTATACATATAAACCTCAAAAATTTTGAGGTAGATATAGTTTTTTTCATGAAATACATTTTCCATGATTTTTTTGCAAATCTTTTGTACATGGAAAATGGGATCAATGTTCACATTTATTATTAATTCTGTATGGTGAATGCACATGCAAATTGATCCTCTTCTGTAATGCACATAAATCATCAATGCAAATTATACAATAAAGTCACAAAATGAAAAACAATTATAATTTTTTAAAAATCCCAAACTTGAGGGGCTGGCATAGAGGGTAAAGCCACTGCCTGTAGTGCCAACATCCCATATGGGTGTTGGTTTGGGTCCTGGCGGCCCCACTTCTGATCCAGCTCCCTGCTCATGTGCCTGAGAAAGCAGCAGAAGATGGCCTGAGTGCTTGGGCCTCTGCATCCATGTGGGAAACCCAGAAGAAGCTCCAGGCTCCTGGGTTTGGATTGGCCTGGCTCCACCCATTGCAGCCATTTGGGGAATGAACCATCAGATGGAAGACATCTCTCTCTCTCTCTCTCTCTCTCTGCCTCTCTGTAACTCTGCCTTTCAAATAAATAAACAAATCTTTAAAAAATCCAAAACTGGAACAAATGAGAGCAAGGAGGGACTGGGGAATCATTTGGAGCAGGACTAACTCTAAAGCTCTAAAGCATGCAAATATTCATGGCACTCTTCAAATGTGTATTGAATAAAAATATAAGAAAATATAGCCAAATGACATCAGCCTCTATTTTAAGTACAGGGATATATCAAAGTGATTGAAGATGCAGGTTTTTGAGGCAATTAAATACAACAAGGTGCTGTGCTTCATTCTGTTGAGGAAACTGCCATTATCATTACTGTGTAACCAGATCCTCCTTCCTGTTATCCACTCACTCTAGGATCCTGGGACAATGTGAAGTCAACGGGCCTTTCAGTTGGTGGAGGCATGCTTACAATAGACAGTGTGAGGCCAGAACTTGCCTTAGACAAAGCACTCAATATATGCCTTACATTCTACATCTGTCAAGTAGTGATAATAACATTAGGCATAAAGTTATTATAAAAGTTAATTAAAGTAAACTCTAAATAAATGCTAGCTTTTACTTAATAGATACTCACAAACCACCAACTGGGAACAAATATTGGGTATAAATATGTGAATGAATAAGTTAGTACAAACTAAATGAGAGTCCCTTTCTTTGCCTTTTATATAAAAAAGGGAACAAATGAATAGAAGATATATATTGCTAACGGTCAATAAGTGACCAACAAATGTGAAAATACTCAACCTTACTTACTAGGTTATTAGAACAAAGGCATGCAAATAAGAACATGAGGTAATAACCATATTTAACCACTCAAACTTCTTGAAGTTTTTAATTTATTTTTTAAAGTCACACTTCTGATGTGATGAATCCAAGATTTTGGAAAGATCACAGGATATAAGGTCATTCAGCTCTTTTAGAAGAAAATTTCAGCAGACATACAAATTATCATGAAAAAATTGATTAAATAATTCTACTTAGGTATCTATGCTAAAGAAAATATCCAGGCTGGCGCCGCGGCTCACTAGGCTAATCCTCCGCCTTGCGGCGCCGGCACACCAGGTTCTAGTCCCAGTCGGGGCGCCAGATTCTGTCCCGGTTGCCCCTTTTCCATGCCAGCTCTCTGCTGTGGCCCGGGAGTGCTGTGGAGGATGGCCCAAGTGCTTGGGTCCTGCACCCCATGGGAGATCAGAAGCACCTGGCTCCTGCCATCGGATCAGCGTGGTGCGCTGGCCGCAGCGCGCCGGCCGCGGTGGCCATTGGAGGGTGAACCAACGGCAAAGGAAGACCTTTCTCTCTGTCTCTCTCTCTCACTGTCCACTCTGCCTGTAAAAAAAAAATAAAATAAAATAAAAAAAAGAAAAAATATCCAGAACAATACATTGTATACATATATAAAACAATGCTTCCAATTTTTCACTATCATAAATATTTCCATTGCTCGACAATAGAAGGTGATTAAATAAATTGTAGTTCATACAAATAATGAAGCTTCATACTGATGTTTAAATCATGCTTTTGAACAATATGAATGCCACATAAAATGTATCATTACAATATTAAGAGGGACAATGCAGCATATAAAACAATACTCAATTCCCTGGGCAAATAGAGATACACAGAATAGAAAAAAAAAAGGTACACCAGAATGTGACCGCTTATATAATATTCATAGTATGAAGATATTTTTAAGTTTAATTATTTTAGTTTATTTATTTGGTTATTGAATATATTTTGGGGATTGTGGGAATCCTCTCTAACCTGGAGTACCAAATCAGTATTAGCAGTTAGTGCCCCCCTCCCCCCATAGAAAATCTTATTTTGAGTTTAGAGATCCTGGGATTAAGCTGGGTTTGACTAATCAATATGTTGAGAAGCTACAATAGTCAAGTAAACACAAAGTCGCTGCTGGTCTCTCTTACAGTTATCCACTAGGATGGTGCTGTTCTCAGGATCATTAAGAGGGCTTGGTATAAATTATTTGAGGTTACTTTTCTTTTTTTAATTAATTAATTAATTTTTTTGACAGGCAGAGTTAGTGAGAGAGAGAGAAAGACAGAGAAAAGTCTTCCTTTCCGTTGGTTCACCCCCTAAATGGCCGCTATGGCGGGCACTGCGCCAATCCGAAGCCAGGAGCCAGGTGCTTCCTCCTGGTCTCCCATGCAGGTGCAGGGCCCATAAACTTGGGCCATCCTCCACTGCCTTCCCAGGCCACAGCAGAGAGCTGGACTGGAAGAGGAGCAACCGGGACAGAATCCGGCGCCCCAACCAGGACTAGAACCTGGGGTGCCGGTGCCGCAGGTGGAGGATTAGCCTAGTGAGCCGTGGCACCGGCCAAGGTTACTTTTCTTTAGAGTCTGTGCCATGGGGTATCATTAAAGTTCTCACATACGATCTTGAGGATCTAGGTCTTTGTTGCAACAGAGATTGGTCAACAGCAACAGAAACATTCTAAGGCATTATAGGATGCTAATGAGCTCTGAACTTAGGATTGTGGACCTCAGCAAACAACATGGTAACTACTCTTCTTGTCATGAGTAAACAACAAATGGACCTATAAACTGTACAGGGGGTCAGTCCCTGGCCTAGACACACAACTGATGGTCACATGGCACGAGTTGTTACATGAGTCTAGAATAAGCTATAGTTTATGCTAGAATTGAGTTACATGGGCTAGTCCCAGCCAAAACATGACCCATGATCACTTTAAGGAGGATTTCACATCCATATTCTTGTCTCTAATTACCTACTATAAAAAACTTCCTATGCAAGTACTTGAATTTATAATAGGCTTACCTCAGAATGTGTGCTGGCCAGGGGGCAGTAGAGTCATCGAGCAACATAAAAGCAAGAGGGGAAAGGCTCCCAGTTTTCACAGTGGCGATGGCTTTGTAGTGGCCTATTGAGGGTGGATCAATCTCCCACTAGAACTGGTTCTGATATCAAGAGTGATGATGCCAGACAGGCCACAAGACAGTATGAGAGGTCTGCTATTCATGTAAGACGGATTTATGGGACAGCACGGCAAGCAACAAAGCTGATCTGCAACGCCTTGAGCAAAGGGAGGAGCAGGCATCTTTGTTTCTTACTGTGTGTGGTGTGGGTGCAGATTCTCCTATGTAGGCCAGGGTTTGCACGGCTTGAACTTCTGGGCTCATGCCAAGGAAAGGAGCGCTCAGTGTTTCTTATCAGCCTGCCCAGATGTAGGCAAAGAGGGCAAAGGGAAGGGGAAGGATCTGCAATCCGTCAGCAGCCACATGTCACAGATGGAGTCAAGCCATTCATCACAGTGCTTCTTTTCCCTTGTTTCAATACAGATTTTGGTATCAGAAAATGAATAAAAATGATTTGGGAAGCTTTCTACATTTTTCTTTCTTATAGAATAATTCAGTTAGTATATGAGGTATCCGTTCTAAAGAATCTAACTAGAATTCATTTATATTTAAAACCTTATGGACCATTTTTAGAGCTAGTTCTCTGGCACTTTAATCCCTTTCATTCACTTGCCTCCTTCCCATTTCTCTCCCTCTTACAGTGAGGTATTCTAATGTATTTGTCACTAGTCCTTTGTATGCATGTGTTGTTATAAGTTGTATTGCTTTGTGCATGTATTTTAATGTGATGCTATTGTTCTGTAGATATAATTTTGAGTCTTAGTTTTTGACTCAGCACTACATTTTAAAATATACAGCCATGTGTGTGGACATAATTCATTGTATATTAATTCTGGATAATAATTTGTGATGCACATCTATATCATTCTACTTTTCCATTTCCTTAGTAGTAGATAGCTACATGACCCCCAACTCATCATCACTACAAGTAATATACAATAAAGATTGTGAAACAAGTCCCTTCACAGCCTTATGTGAAAATGTTCCCGCACTATGTGCCCAGGAAAGAGGCTTCTGGAATACAAGGTACACATGTACTCGTTTCATTAAATATCTTCAGATTCTTTCTAGAATTGCTATACCAATCTAGTCTCCCATAGATCAGTATTATAAAAATGTATTCATTTTTCATTGAAAAAACTTATTATCTAAAAATAACAAATGATTACAACTTTTTCAAATTTCAAAGTGAAATACAACTAGGAAAGGCACAGATTCCTTATTTAATTATTTATTTATCACTTACTCAATGAATATTTACATATAATATTTAACTGCTATAGAGATATCCAGTTTTTCCTCTGAAAATATTTTTATTATTTATATAATTATTATTTGAAAGGCAGAAACAGAGAGAAAAAGAGTGAGAAAAACTTCTAACAGCTGATTCACTCCCCCCAAAAGCCACAACAGACAGGTCTTGGCCAGGCCAAACCCAGGAACCATGAACACCATCCTGGTCTCCCACATGGTTGGTAGTAGTCCAAGAAACTGAGACATCTTCTGCTGCCTTCCCAGGAACATTAGCAAGGAACTGGTTTGGAAATGAAGCAGCTGAGACACAAACTGGCACTCTGATATGGGATGCTGGCATCATAAGCAGCAGCTTAACCTGCTGCACCACAATGCTAGCTCCCATGAAGAGACTTGGAGTCAAGTGGAGGATACAGACATGAATGCTACTGTGACAGCTAATAGCATATATATTTGTATAAGATATGGGAGCTGGAACATTAAAAATATAACATCAATAAAATGGCACACTCTGTATATCATCATGGAGGAAGCCTTGCTTGAGCTACTTACTAAAAGATGTGGAGGTCATTTCCTTGCACAACGATGGCGTAGGACACAGCATGAAGTTGCCTGGTGCATTCAGGATCTGCAAGGAGTCCGGGCAGCTGGAAAATAAGAGGTAGAGTAAGAGATAAGGTTGGAACATTAGGACATAATAGATAATGGATGCATAACCTTGTATATGGTCTTAAGGAGCTTTAAAATGGAAGTATTTATACTATGGAAGATTCTATGATATCATTAGAAAGCATACAATTAAGATACCCAGGTGTGTAAGTCCTATACAAGATGAAAACTCAGTAAAAAGATTTAGGAGTGATAAAGATATTTGACAGTCATCTCTATGCACATGTCAATTATAGCCATGAGTTTGAATGAAAGTGTACATCATATAAAGTTAAATCAAATTATACTAATAAAAACATAAAAATATAAATAAGTCCAGTGAGCAAGAAGACCCACAAAGAAGGTAAAATTGTCTTTCTGGTTTTCTTTCTTTCTTTCTTTCTTTCTTTCTTTCTTTCTTTCTTTCTTTCTTTCTTTCTTTCCTTTTTTTTTTTTTTTTTTTGACAGGCAGAGTCAGACAGTGAGAGAGAGATAGAGAGAAAGGTCTTCCTTCCATTGGTTCACCTCCCAAATGGCCATTGTGGCCAGTATGCTGCAGCCGGTGCGCTGCACCGATTGGAAGCCAAGAGCCAGGTGCTTCCTCCCGGTCTCCCATGCAGGGCCCATGCACTTGGGCCATCCTCCACTGCCTTCCCAGGCCACAGAAGAGAGCTGGACTGGAAGAGGAGTAACCGGGACAGAATCCGGCACCCCGACCGGGACTAGAACCCGGGATGCTGGCGCCGCAGGTGGAGGATTAGCCAAGTGAGCTGTGGCGTCGGCCTCTGGTTTTATTTCTACCTTAAATTTTGTCAACCAACCTGAATGAAGTCAGTGTGTACTTTTGTACTTGTTCATATATAGCTTTGAAAGTATTGTTAATCCTTGTCCAAGTGTTTTACTATACACTAACTAGATTATCACTTCCTAAAGTTAATAATAACTATAAATTAAATTCTTAAAAGTTCAGATGTGGTATACAGAAATTACAATAATCTTACTTACTTGTTTTATATCCATAAATATCTGATTGAGAGTAATGGAACAGAGTGATACTAAATAGTGCCACTAAGCAGGCACTAATAGTAACAATGAACCCAAGGGATCTTCATTATCTTTTGCTGTGTGACAAATTACCATTATATAATCAATTGAAAATAAAGACCTTACATTCTAATTAAAAATGCTATGACTGAATTCAGAGAGAGAGGAAGACTCATATTTTCCAATCATTAGTTTATAATTTATGATTGAAAATAAGTCTACTGAAAACTTGACTTCCATTCCAAATACAGACTACGTACTGAGAAATAAAGATTTATCCCAGTTTCTAGAACTGTACTTGTCCAGGCTGACCACTCCAAATCTATTTTAGCATAGGAATAATCAGACATAGGAATTACAAACCTATTGGTAGTAGAGGAAGAAAAGAGTCTTAACAATATATATGCTAGCTTTTAGGCAAAATGGAATTCTGTCCCTAGAAAACAAAGTCCAAAGTAACCTTGACACTCTTCTAACTTTGAGGATATGATTAGAGAAACAAGAGGTTTGATCATTTCCTTTTGTTAATTTGCTATTCAACAATTCTAGTACAGAATTTAGGCCTCAAAACTTGTAAATGATGTCTGCTTTTGTTATATAATTAATACCAATCAAAGTAAGTTAAGGCTCACTATCTTTAGAAGTTACTTAAAAATGTGCATGTTTTAAAATGTTGCCTTGGTCCAAGTTAATGATAAATTTTTCATAGATCTTAGAGTGTAATCAGTAGTTATGGATCTTTAAATTTGTAATCTCACTCTGGTTCAATACACATTTTTAAAATGAAGGAAAATTAGTAATAGCAGGCATTTCTTAGGAATAAAATAATTCAGGATAGATTTTTAGAAAATAATTTTACTTTTATTTGCAATGAATTCAGCATAAAATTATTTCATAAAGTTTATGCACAGAATTATACAACCTAGTAATGAAATGCAAATATCTCTGTTCATTAAGGTGCAAATGTTTCATCAATTTTGCACACATAGTTCAGTGGGGACTGATAATTATACTGCACTGTGAAAAAATGTTTATTAAGTATCAGTGTGAGGCAGCTAGGTGTATCCAATTATACCATATAATGTGATTTCACAAAGTGATTTGATTTTATTTATTACTTCACGGTCATCATATTTCTGGATTTGATGAAGTTTGGCATATTTTCAAAGTAAATTCAAATGATGAAAACACTTAAATAAACATCCAAACAGTCCTTAGAATTAGAAATCTGATTCTGATGCTATTGTGTATATATTTGTAAAATAACCTTCACTGAATTTTCAAGTTTGTACATCTATTAATTTGATGAAATATTTTTGTTAATTTAAGTCAACTTAAAGTTTTTTTATCAACTAAATATGCCAAAATACTTTTTCAACTTCATTATATTAACATTGCTATAAAATAAAATATACTAAAAGGGAAAGTTATCAGGATGAATTTTGAAAGAAATGACATATCTCCTATAGCTTCTATAATCATGTCATTTATAGGAAGTTGTAATTTTAACTACCCATCTACCACATTGAAAAACTCATTGAAAACTTTGTAGATTCTGGTTATTAAAGCTTTATCGATTGCATAGTTTGTAAATATTTTTATCTCATTCTGTTGGTTGCCTCTTCACTTTCCTGACTGCAGTACAGAAACTTCTCAATTTGATGTAATCCCAATTGTTAACTTTGGATTTGACTGCCTGTGCCACCGGGGTCTTTTCCAAGAAGTGTTTGCCTGTGTCTATAGCTTGTAGGGTTTCTCCGATGTTCTCTAATAATTTGATGGTGTCAGGTCCTAGATTTAGATCTTTAATCCATGTTGAGTGGATTTTTGTGTCAAGTGTAAGGTAGGGTTCTTACTTCATGCAGATCAAGAAACTCCACAACAATAAAACAAACAACCCACTTAAGAGATGGGTCAAGGACCTCAATAGACATTTTTCAAAAGAATTCCAAATGGCCAACAGACACATGAAAAAATGTTAAGGATATCTAGCAATCAGGGAAATGCAAATCAAAACCACAATGAGGTTTCACCTCACCCGGTTAGAATGGCTTACATACAGAAATCTACCAACAACAGATGTGGGGAAAAAGGGACACTATCCCACTGTTGGTGGGAATGCAAACTGGTTAAGCCACTATGGAAGTCAGTTTGGAGATTCCTCAGAAACCTGAATATAACCCTACCATTCAACTCAGCCATCCCACTCCTTGGAATTTACCCAAAGGAAATTAAATTGGCAAATAAAAGAGCTGTCTGCACTTCAATTTTTATTGCAGCTCAATTCACAATAGCTAAGACCCAAATGCCCACCAACCCAAATGCCCACCAACAGTAGACTGGATAAAGAAATTATGGGACATGTACTCTATAGAACACTATATAGCAGTAAAAAAATGAAATCCAGTTATGAAACCTATTGAAGTGAAATGGACACTGTGAGAAACAATGACTTGATCAGCCCTTGTCCTGACTGTCGAGGAACAACTTTCTATTTTATTCCTTTTAGTATTTTTTTTTGTTCTACTTAAAACTATTGGTTGAACTCTGTAATTAACACACAATTACTCTTAGGTGTTTAAATTTAACTGAAAAGTGATCCCTGTTAAATATAACAGTGGGAATAAGAGAGGGAGGAGATGTACAGTTCGGCACATGCTCACTTGGACTTACCCCTAATGGTAGAGAAACGTGCCAGGGAATTCCAATTCAATCCCATCAAGGTGGCATGTACCAACGCCATCTCACTAGTCTAAGAGATCAATTTCAGTTCACAATTGATCATAATGATAGGTCTAAGAGTCAAAGGGATCAAATTAACAAGCGTAGTGTCTGCTAATACTAACGGATAGAATAAAAAAAGGGAGAGAACAATCCAACATGGGAATCAGGATACACAGCAGACTCATAGAATGGCAGATGTCCTAAACAGCACTCTAGCCTCAGAATCAGCCCTTAAAGCATTTGGATCCGGCTAAAAATCCTATGAGAATATTTCAGGCATGGAAAGCCAAGACATTCTGGCAAAACAAACAAACAAACAAACAAAAACCAACTAAATGAAAGATCTGTGAGCCAGATCCCAGTAAAAAGAACAGGCCATCAAGGAAGGAGGCACCTTTCTCTGAAGGGAGGAGAGAACTTCCACTTTGACTATGGCCTTGTCTAAATAAGATCAGAGATGGCGAACTTAAGAGGCTTCCCTAGCCTTGGCAGCTCATGACAAGAGCCTCGGGTGATTACTGACGCCATAAATAAGAGTGTCAATTGTTAAATCAACAACAGGAGTCTCTTGTGCACTTACTCCTCATGTAGGATCTCTGTCCTTAATGTGTTGTACAATGTGAATTAATGCTATAACTAGTACTCAAACAATACTTTACACTTCGTGTTTCTGTGTGGGTGCAAACTGTTGAAATCTTTACTTAGTATATAAAGATAATTGAAAACTAATCGATGTGAATGGGATGGGAGAGGGAGTGGGAGATGGGATGGTTACGGGTGGGAAGGAGGTTATGGGGGTAAAAAGCCGCTATAATCCAAAAGTTGTACTTTGGAAATTTATATTCATTAAATAAAAGTTAAAAAAATTCATTGATAATGTCACAGTTTTTGTCTGTCCACCTCATTCAATCAGATTGTTTTGGGAATATCTTGGAATTACAACTTATTCTTCAACAATTTTTTATAAACTGTTTTTTATTAACTGTTTTCTAAAATTATACAGATGTGTCTCATTCCTTCAGCACTTAAATCTTTTCTCCCAAGACTCACAAGCTAAACTAACTTCTGCAGATGACTCTACCCTCATAAAGTAGATTCAACCCTCTTCTGACTAGCTCCCTATCTGCAGTTAATTTGTCTTTTATTCTGATTACATTGTTCATTTTTAAAAGATTTTTTCTTGAAAATTAATTTTAGAATAGTTTGAAATTTACAAAACAAAAATTGTGAGGTAGATCCCAAATATATCTAACCCTGTATCCCTTTTTAAGAGCTCATTAGTATCATTATCATTAGTATCTTTGTCACAATTATTTTATTTTCTATTATTTCAACCCAAACAATTTTTATCCCAGCTACTCCTCCAAGCCTATGAGCTTTTTATTTTAAATTTTAGCAACCACATATAAGGGAAAACATGTGGTATTGTCCTTCTGTGTCTGGTTCATTTCACTAAACATGATGTCCTCCAGTTCTACCCTTTCTGCTGCAAATGACAGGACTTCATTCTTTCTTATAGTTGAACAATATCCCATTATTTATATATACCAGTGTCTACCACATTGTCATTTTCCATTCATCCGATGATGGATACCTTGATTGATTCTATATTTTAGCTATCATGAACAGTGTTGCTATAAATATAGTACAGCATGTATCTTTTTGATACAATGAATTCATGTCTTTCAGGTACATACCAAGCAGTGGGATTGTTGGATAACATTGCAGTTTCATTCCCAGTTGTTTTTTTTAAATCTCCATACTGTTTTCCACAGTGGCTCCAGTAATTTACATTTCCACCACCAGTGTATAAGAATTCCTATTTATTCACAGCATTGCCAGCATTTGTTTCTGTCTTTTGGATAATACAAACATTTCTAGAAGAAAACACAAAGGAAACACTTCAAACCTACAGTATAGGTAATGACATCTTGCATAAGCCCCCAAGCACATAGATAGCAAAAGTGAAACTAGATAAATTGGATTATATCAAATTCAAAAGTTTCTGTACAGTCAGGGATACAATTACTACAATGAAGAGACATCTGACAGAATGGGAGAAAATATTTGCAAGCTACTTGTTTGACACAAGATATCCAGGATATATATTCTACTTGAAAAATTCAACAACAACAAAGACAACCAATCCAGTTAAGGAATGGAAAAGGATCTGAATAGATAGTTCTCAAAAGAAATACAAATGGCCAACAAATATTATGAAAAGACACTCAACATCACAAGCCATAAGGAAGCTCCTGGCTCCAGGCTTTGGATCGGTGCAGCTCCTGCCGTTGCATTCATTTGGGGAGTAAACCAGCAGATGGAAGACCTCTCTCTCTGTCTGTCTGTCTCTCTCTCTGCCTCTGCCTCTCTGTGTGACTCTGCCTTTCAAATAAATAAACAAATCTTTAAAAAAATCCCCAAAACTCAAAATGTCCATTTTGATGGGATCAGGGAAAACATGATATCTGTCTTTTTGGAACTGGCTTATTTCATTAAGTATAATGGCTTCCAGTTGCATCCATCTTGTTGCAAAAGACAGGATTTCATTTTCTTTTTATAGTTGAGTAGTACTGCATACTGTATATATACACCATAATTTCTTTATCCAATCATCAGTTGATGGATATCTGGGTTGATTCCATATCTTAGCTCTAGGGAACTGTGCTGGGCCAGTGCTGTGGCATAGTGGGCTAAACCTCTGCCTGGGGCACCAGTATCCCATTTGGAAGCCGGTTCATGCCCTGGATGCTCCTCTTCCAATCCAGCTCTCTGCTATGGCCTGGGAAAGCAGTAGTAGATGGCCCAAGTGCTTGAGCCCCTGTACCTGCATGGGAGAACCGGAAGAAGCTCCTGGCTCTGGCTCCTGGATTTGGATCTGCTCAGCTTCAGCCATTGCGGCCATTTAGGGAGTGAACCAGCAGATGGAAGACCTTTCTCTCTGTTTTTCCCTCTCTGTCTGCAACTCTACCTTTCAAATAAATAAATATTTAAAAATAAATAAAAATGAATAAATGAATTGTGCTGCAAGGAACATAGGGATACAGATAACCCTTTCAGATGCTGATTTCTTTTGATTTGGGAAAATTCCCAGGGGTGGAATGGCTGGGTCATATGGTAGAACTACATTCAGATTTCTAAGGTATCTCCATACTGTCTTCCACAGTGGTTGCACCAGTTTACATTCCCACCAAAAGTGGATTAAAGCATCTTTTTCCCCACATTCTCACAAACATTTGTTGTTTGTTGATTTCTGTATGAGAGCCATTCAAACTGGAGTGAGGTGAAACCTCATTGTGCTTTTGATTTGCACTTCCCTGATGGCAAGTGATCCTGAGCATTTTTCCAAGTGTTTTTTGGCCATTTGGATTTTTTTCTTGAAAAATGGCAGCTCAAGTCCTTTGCCCACTTCTTAACTGGATTGTTTTACTGTTGTTGAATTTCTTGAGCTCCCTATAGATTCTGGATGTCAACCCTTTATAAACCATGTAGTTGGCAAATATTTTCTCCCATTCTATTGGTTGCCTTTTCACTTTTCTGAGGGTTTCTTTTGCAGTGCAGAAGCTTCTCAGGTTCATGTAGTCCCTTTCGTCAATTTTGGCTTTGATTGCCTGTACTTCTGGGGTCTTTTCCAAGAAGTCTTTGCCTATGCCAATGTCTTGCAGAGTTTCTCCAATGTTCTCTAGTAATTTGATTATATTAGGATATAAATTTAGGTCTTAGTTTCATTTTGAATGGATTTTTGTGTAAGGTGTAAGGTAGGGGTCTATTTTCATACTGCTGCATGCAGAGATCCAGTTTTCCCAGCACTTTGAGTTTTTAAATAAAGTACTTCATGTCCTTACTCTATCCTTTCTACTTAAAAACTGGACTCTTATTTTCAACTGTTCTACTAAAACCTCTACTTGGAGGTCACTTCTTACCTCCCAGTTAAGTTTAAAGCCATCTGTCCATCCTCACTTGACACTGCTTCTTCCATTAGTGCTGTTGATGCACATCTCCTCTATCTTCTCTTGGTTGCTGGGATGTTTCATTCTTCTGGCTTCTTTTGTACTTCTATGATCATTATTTCCTAGTTATCTCACTGGTTTTACTTCCTTTTACAATTCCTTAATGTTTATTGTACCATAACATAAATAAATGAAAGTCAACAAATTATACACATGCTAGCATAACCAGCACCTAGGTCAAGCTGTAGAATACTGCTGCCCTCTCAGGGGCCAATCATGACCCTACCACAGGTATCTTTCATCAATAATGGTGTCTTTGATTTCTGGGTTTCATGAATAAATTATTAGGAATTTGCATTCTCATTCAGAAATGATGACATAATCTATGTTACCATTACCAGCTCAGGAAACTGCACTTTTAGTTTTGCCCCAAAACCTTAGCATGGACTAAAATGTAGAAATTCAGGTGACAGCACGACTGGTGATGAATGTCTTAGCCAGCTGGCATTAGGAGCAGCAGGCCAAGCTGTTGTTTGTGATGCCTGCATTCCATATCAGAGTGCTGGTTCAAGTCCCACAGCTCCCCCTCTGATTTAGCTCCTTGCTAATGCACATGGGAAAGCAGCAGTTGATGGTCTGGGTACTTGGGCCTCTGTCACACATGTAGAAGACCAGGATGGAGTTCCAGTTTTGCCCAGCCCTCACTGTTGCAGTCATTTGGGGAGCGAACCAATGAATGGAGGATCTCTCTCTCTCTCTCTCTCTCTCTCTCTCTCCTTGTCTTTGCCTCTTTCTCTGTTGTTCTGTCCTTCAAATAAATATTTTTTTAAAAAGATAATGTCTTAGTCTACTTATCATTGCTATAATGGAATATAAGAAAGGATAACACAATGAACAGAAATTCATTGATTCACATTTCTGGAAGCTGGCATCTTCTTCCGTTCTCATCCCATGGCAGAAGACAAGAGGGCAAAGGAACAAGAGAGCAACAGAGAGATAAAAAAAGGGAACAAATTCATTCTCTTATAAAGAACCCACTCCCACAATAACAATGCTAATGTATTCATCAGAGCAGCTTCTGTGTGTTCTAATCATCCTCTAAAACCCCCACATCTTAATACTATTAAAATGGCAACTGAATTGCTTTTTTTAAACTTTTATTTAATGAATATAGATTTCCAAAATACAGCTTATGGATTACAATGGCTTCCCCCCCTCCCCAATGACTTCCCTCCCACCCGCAACCCTCCCCTTTCCCACTCTCTCTCCCCTTCCATTCTTATCAAGATTCATTTTTAATTTTCTTTATATACAGAAGATCAGTTTAGTATACAATAAGTAAAGATTTCAACAGTTTGCATCCACATAGAAACACAAAGTGAAATATACTGTTTGGGTACTCGTTATAGCATAAAATCTCAATGTACAGCACATTAAGGACAGAGATCCTACATGAGGAGTAAGTGCACAGTGACTCCTGTTGTTGACTTTACCAATTGACACTCTTGTTTATGGCATCAGTAATCTCCCTATGCACCAGTCATGAGTTTCCAAGGCTATGGAAGGCCCTTGAGTTCTCCGACTCTTATCTTGTTTAGACAAGGTCATAGTCAAAGTGGAGGTTCTCTCCTCCCTTCAGAGAAAGGTACCTCCTTCTTTGAAGACCTGTTCTTTCCACTGGGATCTCACTCACAGAGATCTTTCATTTAGGCCCCCCCCTTTTTTTTGCCAGAGTGTCTTGGCTTTCCATGCCTGAAATACTCTCATGGGCTTTTCAGCCGGATCCGAATGAATAGCAACTGAATTGTAACAGTTGAGCTTGAAAGGGAACAAATATTGAAATCACAGCAAAGAATATTTTACAGAAGGTGATAGTTCTTGAAAACCTTACTGTTGTCTCTGAAGTCAACTTTACTTTGTCATTCTAGATAGAGTAACTTAGAAATGGCATATTTTGCATTCCATACATTTTTATCATTGATAGACTATTCCTTTTCTTAATCTTATTTGATATTTGTTTAAAATTGCATCCACAGTTTTAAAAACCATGTTATTTTTTTCTAGCCTCCAAATCTAAAAATAAATGGACTTTATTGCAAACAACTGAAAAAAAAACTAAACTTAGAAGAAACTAAATTCAACTGAAATATGAAGCCCCAAAGCAATACATATGTACACACATGCAAATACTTATGAAAAATATCAAAACATTACATGTAAGAATATAGAAACTGCTAAAAGTACCCAAGAGTCCAAACTGTCACATGTACTGTCTTCCATGAAAAGGCCACTCTGAACAACTCTACTGTTTCTTCTTGTCACTTGCAAGAAGGAAGCTCAACTTGCAATGAATCTAAATATGCTTTGTGAAGTTCTCAGGACTCTGAATTGCATGGTCACGCTCCCATGGGAAAGCAAACTTGCTGTGTCAACTGAAGCACAATGCATACAAAGCAAAGGGGATAGCATACAGCAGAGTGGGCCAGCTAGGAAATTTTCCTACAAAGCTGCCCAAGGAAATATGTTGAAATATCCATTGTGAAACAAAGGTTTTGGCAGTAGTTTGCAAGTCCAAGCAATAAATAATAATAATAACTAAGGATGCAAGTGAGCAGACACAGAGCTACCAGCATTCCTATGATAAAAGATCCTTACTTATTTGTGAGGTAGAGTTACAGAGAGTAAGAGACAGAGAGAAATGAGAGAAAGGTCTTCCATCCACTGGTTCACTCCTGAAATGGCAGTAATGGCTGGAGCTGGGCTGATCCAAAGCCAGAAGCCAGGAGCTTTTTCTGGGTCTCCCATGTGCATGCAAGGTCCCAAGCACTTGGGTTATCTTCTACTGCTTTTCCAGGACACAGCACAGAGCTGGATCAGAAGAGGAGCATCTGGGACTAGAACTGGTGACCCTATGGGATGCCAGTGCCACAGTCAGATGCTTAGCCTAGTATGTCACAGCACTGGCGCCAAATCCATACTTCTTAAAGCCATAAAAATGTACATATACACACAAAAACATCCATAAAAATTCCTAAATTACAGACAACATTTACTTTCCAAGGTCAGGTTTTTTTTCTTTCCTGCCAACTCATGTTTTCTTTGGGCATTTTCTGGAATATAAAACTATAAACCATATAAACAAACGCAACAGTCTTTAGGGTTTAGGGATTAGGATGGAGCAAAAGTTTATGGAGATTTAAATGGCCTCTGGGACAGCTTAGTCTGCTGTTGATGACCCAGAATTGCAATTTGTGTTTGCTCCATGATTACTCTTGATGTTCTGCCTAATCTCTTTCTTGCACTATCAAACGTAAGAGTGACCCCTTTTCAAGAGCTTTTGAGATCACTGACTGGGGGAGGGAACGTGACACCAAGGTGAAGGTCCCAAAGCTAATGTAAATTTTACTTGGTTTCTGCTCCAACAGACTTCTTGTCATTTAACAGTGCTATGAATTTTAATATGATTCTTACTGCAACTCAGTGGCTCACTTTTAATCTTCAATCTTTGGAAGGTATTGATCATATTCATTGGGTCATACAGGTGCCCTTGCTGCAGGCATCAAGGTTTTTGTAGACTAGCATATGTAGCTTTGGTTTAAATTCTTAATTACTTCATTCTTCTCTATGAAAATTATTCTATTTTAATTTTCAGATTTTTTGCTTAATTCTAACCACTACTAACTTGAAATACACCTCAAAAATATTATCATGTATAAACTGGTCAAGTTAAACATGTATGTACGCAGTATTTATCCTAATATTTTATTCAGAAGCACACATTCATCATTCTTTTAAACACATGTAGTCAGTAACTAGTGCATACATAGTCACTGGGTTCCCAGCTGAGAATGTCATGATAAATAGAGACTTTGGAGCTCAGGGCTTAGTGGTGGAGAGATTTAGGCAGGAATCAAGTAATCACAAAATAAATGTGAAATAACTATTGCATCAAGTGGCACAAAAAACAGGAAAACCATACTCTGAGGAATACATTATATATCTTTTGGAAGATCAGATAATTATTCCCTGAATAACTGACATTGGAATACAGATCGGAATGATGAGTGACAGTTACAGGAAAAGAGTGGGGAGGTGAAGGTACCGGGTATAACAACATAGCAAAGACCCTACAGAAGAAGGTTCCTGAGAACTACAAGGGATTGAAAGAAAGACCGTGTGGCTAAAGCAGAGAAAGAAGGATTTTTGAACAAGAAACTAAGCTCTGCTGATTTGGCTTTCAAACTATCTCCTGGCATGTTCATTTCTTTCAGACCCACCTCCCTTTTTAAATTTTATTTAAGGTGTATGAACTGCATGCATTTCATATACACAAATTTAGGAACATAATGATTCTTCTACCCCTCCCCACCTCCCTACACTCCCACCTTTATTCCTCCTCCCTCTCCTGTTCCCATTCTTATTTTTTACAAAGATCTCTTTTCAGTTAATTTTATTCTTTTTTTTAAAGATTTATTTATTTATTTATTTCAAAGTCAGAGTTACACAGAGAGAGAAGGAGAGGCAGAGAGTGAGAGAGGTCTTCCATCTGCTGGTTCACTCCCCAAATGGCCACAATGGCCAGAGCTGTGCTGATCTGAAGCCAGGAGCCAGGAGCTTTTTCCAGGTCTCCCACAAAGGTGCAGGTGCCCAAGCACTTGGGCCATCTTCTACTGCTGTCCCTGGCCATAGTAGAGAGCTGGATCAGAAGTGGAGCAGCTGGAACTCAACCAGGCGCCCATATTGGATGCCAGTACTGCAAGCGGCGGCTTTTCCGGCAACACCACAGTGCTGGCCCCTTCAGTTAACTTTAAACTCATAAGATTAACCTTACTCAGTCCCAACTCTTTCCACAAAACTTGAAAGTAGGATCAAATCCAGGTCTCTCATAGAATTATGAAACTTTCCACTATTTGCTCTTATTTTTTCACTCTTGCTCCTTATAACTGGTTCTCTGCATTGTAGCCAATGATCTTTGCCAATTGCACATTACAGTATATCACGTCTCTACTTCACACCAATCAATCCACTTTTCATAGAATAATGGAACCACCAGAACTTTCTAGTGTCTTCGATGTTGCTGCACACATTAGCCTTCTCTCTCTCTTCCTCAGTGAGCAAGTATTCAAGCTATTCCCTCCACATGGAAGCTACTAACCTCTTCAACTGACAACCAGATATGACTTATTTAAAGAAGTTCTTAGGGAAAAAACCTCCAGCTCAGAAAGATTATTCTTCCTCCCATTAAATCATTTTATGACATCTTACACTACCCACTCCTGGTGACACACTGCTTCACTGGCCCTAATGTTTCACTCTTCTCTCTATCCAAATGCTTTTGTCCTGTAAATTTTTAGCCCCAACAGACAAAAGTTCTGTGTCCTGTACTCCTTGCCTATGGGTTTGGCTATGTCACTTGCTTTGGCTAATGGGATAGCAACAAAGATTAAGTAAGAGAAAGATTGAAAACATTTTGTGGTTGGGTGCCCCGCACTGGGAGAAGAACATGTCCAGGCTTAGCCCCACTGGTCCAAGGAGGATAGGACATGTGGAACAGATCAAACCTGTAGCTTAACACACATCAGCTGAAACTGGTAGATATCAACAGGGCTAAACAACCAAATCAACCTCATATGAGAAACAATGATTCTTATGGCATGTTATGAGGTTGTTTTTGTTGTATCATTTGTCTAAACCAATACAGTATAAACAAAAGCAAAGACAACCACTGAGGATTTTTTTAGAGATTTTAGTTAGTTGTAAGCAGTAAGTGATAAACAGAAAAACAGCATATTGTCCATATGGGTATGATCCTGAGCAAGTTAGTTACCCTGTCGACCTGTGTTTTCCTATCTTTAAAATGAAAGGGCTGAAATAGGTTTGTCTTGAGAACTGACTGCAGTTGATTGCTGTGACTTCCTGGAATGCTATGCTAACATCGACCCTAAGGTGAAATTTAGGTTCAAAGATGGAGGAATTTGGA